TGATATTTCTGAATTAAGAGAGAATATGACTATTGCAGAACAAGAAATACATTCAGGATAACCTTACATTTATCTGGTATGCACCATGCACCCAGCAAGAAACTAAATTATATTGTTTAATTTGCAAATTAAATAATATAATTTATTATATTATGTCATAGTACATTATAATATAATTATAATATGATAATTTTATTATGTTAATATGATAATTGTATTGTATTATCATATTACAATTACATTGTATTCTATATAGAGGGGGTTGCACATGAGGAAAGTTACTGCACGTATATTAATAAACCGATAACCTGTAATGGGGGAATTGATATTTTACTGGTTTCTTTTACTCAAAACAAAGGCTCATTCTGCCCCACTGTGTTGCCAGAGGGCTGCTCTGAACAGCACGTGGTCACCCAGGTGGCCATGCAGTGCTTGTAACTGAACTATCGTTAGACTCTGTTATTCAAAATATGGTCAAAAGTCCTGTTTATGTCAGTAAAAATTTGAATTTCAGAAGGAATTTTTATTAACAAATAAGAGTTTCAAAATTTATTCCTTAGGCGGTGAGATTGTTTTGTTCTGTTACTTCTGATTGTGCCTTTTAGTGACTTGCTTAGTGATGCAAAGAATGAATAAAAATATCCAGTAATAAACTACAACCAGGGAGAGAACTATTGCCACAGGATATGTGAATTACTATTAACACTATTATGTTTTCCATTCCTATAATTTTCCACAAATCATTTTAATATGAAATACAATGACCATTCGAACATAAGCCAAGCCTCCAAATCATTTTTATATTGATTGGTGTGAAAAAGAAGAGGATAAACTAAGCCATTTCCTCTACCTGATTTGGGGAACATGGCTTTTATTACTTAAGAAAGGGAAAATAACAAAAGAGAAAGTCAAACATTCTCTTTGAAAGAATTATAGGACATTAGAGAAATTTGAACATATAATAAAAATATGATAATTGATTTTTTTTGGTGGGATGATTTGGGGAACATGGCTTTTATTACTTAAGAAAGGGAAAATAACAAAAGAGAAAGTCAAATATTCTCTTTGAAAGAATTATAGGACATTAGAGAAATTTGAACATATAATAAAAATATGATAATTGATTTTTTTTGGTGGGAGAAAGCCTGTAATCTTATTCCCAAGCACACACAGATAATCATTTTGCTTTCTTAATCATAGGAATATTCTACATGAGGTAAAGGAAGGTAGAAGTCTTGCTCTCTCTCTCTACCACAATTTCAGCCTTCAAAGTATTTAGAGACAGAAGTTTTGATTTATAAATTCCTAGTTGTCTTTTTTTTTCTTTTTTCTTAGGCTCTTTGTATAAGGTTAGATTTTTAAAAGCTGTAAAAACTGAAGAGAAAAATAAAATAAATGGTATCTAATAGCAAGAGAGGGCTTTAGGCCCATGCTGTGAAATCATTCCAAGGGAAAAATTATGATTAATCCATCTGGTACTACCAGCAATAGATCCTTTGGATAAAATTTTGTTCTGTCATATAAGGTCACTTCAAAAAGTTCATGGAAAGATTTGTATTACCTTTCAATTCTATTTTTCCATGAATATTTGAAGTACCCTCATATATCAATATCTGTATTATTTTTATAGTGTTATTGCAAAGTCAGTGGGTTACCTATTATCTTATAGTATCCGGTTAGTGAGTTCAGAGGATCATTAGCTAAAATTTAATGTTTATATGAAGCTTAGTACAAAAAGAAAATAGTTATAAATCCATCTAAAAGATTCACAAGTTTTCTCAGACATCAGTTTCGGTATTAAGTATATAGCTTGATTATCTATTATGCCCACCTCCAACAGATTTCTAATGTTAGCATAACTTAACATCAATTAGTATACAAGTATGGACTTTCTGTTTTGAATGGATTTATTTTAAAACATGTTAAGTATTGTTCACTTAAAAAGAACCGTATTAAATGACAAACTCTTATTTTCTTATTTTTTAAGACTGTGTAACATCATCGTTTATCCCTGTCAAGCCTTTCAACATGATGGCTCAACCAGAACCCACAGTAGAGGTGGAAGAATTTGTTTATGATTCAACAAAGTACTGCCGTCCTTACAGAGTATACAAAAATCAAATTTACATTTACCCCAAACACCTCAAATATGATAGCCAGAAATGTTTCAACAAGGTATGATAAAATTTTGTGAAATATGGTCTTCTCTCTTCACCACATTTAGACCATACAAGATGGTTTCTTGAAGGTACAAATGCAAATTATAATAGGCCAAGACTTTGCAGTAGAAAACCATTTGTAGAAAAGTCTTTGTAGGAGGCAGGGATGAGCTTCTTCTTAGAAGTGCTTAAGGATGCACAGTTTTGCAACATATTAAGAACTTTTTCTGAAATAGCCTTAAATAATTTTGTTCTAGACCACTTATTTTAGTTTCTTATGATACTCTGGAAGGATCATGCCTGCACCTTTCAGTATGAGCTCTTTCTTGCCTTTTAGATTCTCTCTCCACATCCTTTTGCTATTTCTGAGCACTATGGATAATGTCACAAGAAAATGTTGGGTATTATACATTTGCAGATTTAATTAGATGCTGCTTATTTTAGGAACTTGGATTGGTTTTTTTGGTGTTATTTAATAGAAAATTACAATTTCCATTTTCCCTCATTGAAATTGCAGGCACGAAATATAACCGTGTGCATTGAATTCAAAAATTCCGATGGAGAAGGTGCCAAGCCCGTGAAGGTAAGCCAAGTCAGCAGGGGAACATAGCATAAAGAAAGAAGGTGGGGCATAGGTCCTTTCCACCAGTGAGGGACTTTTTATGTGAGCATGGTTGGAAAGGAGAAATTTAATGCATTCATTTTAGATTTTCTGAGATGTACTTGATTTAACAGCCATCATTAACTGGATCTATTAGAAATGCCAGTCTCGTGGCTCTCTTAGCTTTTCATGATTTGGAAAAAAAGGAAGCTGTTCTAATGTGAAATAAATGTAAAGGTTCCCCTCTGGAAGACATTGCTCTTTCCAAAGATTAGCCCTCCTCTCGATTTGGCGTGCTTGATTTAAAATGGCACATCCCAGCTGGCCTTTGTGCAGAAGGGCTGCTGCATACTGGCCTGATGGCTAACACAGTGGGCCCGGGGGATGCTCACAGTTATGGAAGGTGCATGTGGCCAAGTGCCCGAGGAACTGGAAAATGGCTCTGGGAAGTCAGTCCTGGTTGTTGATCCAATGATTTAATAGGATCAATAAAACAATGAGGTCTGTATGAACTGTGCTGTTTTAACCTATAAAACTGCAACTGGATGGCATTTTTTAGAGTTCGTATTTGATATATACTGTTTTTGTTTTAGGGGCTTCAAACAACATAAAGTAACTTATAAAAATAGAGAGGGAAATTATTTTTAGTGGGACTGCTGCCAGAATTTTCCAGTTTCAGTGAATCAGAGGAATGAGATAATAAAGGACTAAACTAATTTCTACCTAACTCCCAGCATTATTTGAGATATTCGTAGAGCACTCAGTCAGATACAAATTGTATCCTCTAATTCATGCTACCAAGAAGGTTTGTAGCATTATTCAGAACAGTGATCAATTTCAGTGGTTGAATAAATCATGCAGAGTAAAGAGAAAGAGCTCTTTAAAATAGGCTTCCGCCCCTGTCAGTATTCACAGGAACCAAGCTACACAACATCATTAGCATCGGGAGAGAAAAATTAAAGTGAAATGCAACTGTCAAGCAAACAGAGGCAATGCCCAGACGATAAACACACTGGGCGTGTTAGAGCAGTGGCTTTGTGGGGAAAATTCTAGGCAAGAGGAACAATCGTAGGTGTGTGGGTCCCCTGCTTTATTGCATTCTAAAACATCACACGGAGATACAGCAAGGCTGATGTCAGACTACAGAGGGGAACCCCTAAGGTTTGGGCAAAAGGGGCTTTTAAGCTCTATGACTAGGAAGTGCCATATCACATCCCCTGGCCTGATTCGGGGCTGGTATAGAATAGTAATACAATGTGCTGGAACCTGGAACCAGCCCTGTCCTGCTAACTCAGCTTCGTGATTGGGAGCTGGTGTGTCAGGGGCTGGGGTCCAGCCAAGCCTTGTGGTCTCCCAAGACCTTAACCCTGCACCAGAGATGGTATCATGGGTCCTGCCAAGAAGCCATTATGCAGAGATCAGTCTTGACCAAGTTAGCCCTTATTTCATGGTAACCAAAAGGCAGATAGTGAACTGGTCCAGTATTTGGCACTGATGTAACATCTATATGATCAAGAAAAGCCTTCAGATTTTTTTCAGCAGCATCCCATTGTATAATAAACACAGGGAAGTAGGCTGGAGAGTTTCAAGGTTAATTAGATGTCAGCTAAGCCTGGCATGTTGTCAAAAAGTTGATCTTCATCCTGGGATTGGTAATTGAACAATTGTGGCCTTTTATTCACTCAGGGATAATTTCAGACACTCATAATTGTTCAACCCATAACTTTTTAAACAGTGTATTTATGGAAAACCTGGAGCGCCCCTCTTTACCTCAGCCGCCTACACAGCCGTTCTGCACCATTCCCAGAATCCGGATTTCTCAGACGAGGTAAGGGCCGGTATCCACTGCCCCCAGCAGCTCCTAAGATGGGCGGATGGGGCAGATAATGCACAAAAATAACCGCTCTCTCTAGACCACACCTCAGACTAAGGACATGCTGTGGCGTATATGTACTCACCAAGACGTATAAACTACAGTAATGACAGTTGCTCCAGGAGTATGTTGCAAAGTCATGTATTTCAGTATAGGATTGACCTTTAAATATGTGATGTTTTTATCATATCATTCTTTTCACGGGAAACTAATTTTTTTTCTTTTATTGTACTGATTAGTATAATAGGATTGCGTTAGATAGTTTTACCAATCAGTGGCAGTATTTCATGTCATAATGGAAAGAACAAAGCACTAGAATATGCGCCAGCACTGTTGTTTATAACCTGCATGAACTTGAAGGCGCGGGAACCCCCCATCTCTAAACACAGCAGAGAGCAAGCCCTGCCCTGGCTCACTCCCCAAACTCCCCACTGTATGCCAGACACCAAGCTGCACTCCACACACACAGCATCTCAACCCCCACAGTAGTTCTGAGAAGTAGATACTATTACAACCTTCCTATTTTATGGAGGGTGAAACTGAGGCTCAGAGAAAGAAGTCAAGCAACTTTGCCAAGGCCACCTCGCTAAGTGAAAGTCAGAATTCAAACCAGGCCATGTGACTCCAAAGCCTGAAACTTCACCACTCTGCTATAACACACACACAAAAAAACACTCTGTTATAACATAAAAAAAATTATATTAGAAAATTTATTTATTTTATAATATAAAAAAGTCATTGGGTCAGCAGTAAATTACTTTATGCGTGCCAGCTTGCATTATAAACAGCTTCAGACAAATGAGTTACAGTGATTAAATCTAATTCCTAACCTTTTAAAGCAAAGGTCTGAACTAAAGCAACCTGCTGATATGATACCTGGGATTCAAAGTATGACACCTTCTGCATGAGTTTCCCAGTGCTGCTGTAGCAAATTACTAAAATTTATCGGCTAAAAACTACCCACATTTGTTATCTTATGGTTCTGGAGGTCAGAAATCTGCAGTAGGTATCACAGAGCTGAAATCAAGTTGTCAACAGGACTGCATGCCTTCCAGAGGTTCTGGGGGAGAATCCATGTCCTTGCCTTGTCTAGGTTCGAAGCTGCCCATATTCTTTGGCTTCTGACTCATTTCCAACCATGTCAGCACTCTGACCTCTACCACTGTCCCCACGTCTCCTCTGACTCTGCCTCTCCTGCCTTCCTTGCATCAGGACCTCTGTGATTACACTGTGCTCACTTAGAAGTCCAGGATAATCTCCCCATGTCATGGTGCTTAACTCAATCACATCTGCAAAGTCACTTTTAACATGTAAGGTAACATAATCATAGATTCTGGAGATTTGAACATGGAGGATGTCTTTGAAGGCCATTTTTCTGCATACAATGTCTTGTTGCACATTAATCATTATAAAACTAATTAGAGGAACACCAGTGAAACAACCTGCCTGACTTCATCTCCTTCTTCCATATCTATTTAATGCTCTTAATTTTTTTCCCCATAAATTCAGGACAAAAAGTAAAAAAAGTTAAAGGAAAGAGCTATTACCACATTACAGAATATTTGCAGTACTGGTTGACACTTTGGCAAAGGCCATCTGAAAGGTGTACTCTCTGTAGACAGATGACTTAAAAAAATCAAGGTTTGGGGCCGGCCCGGTGGCACACTGCTGCAGTGCACCGCTTGGGAAGCGCGGCGGCGCTCCCGCCGAGGGTTCGGATCCCACGTGCAGACCGGCGGCTCACTGGCTGAGCGAGGAGCGGGGGCAACACCGAGGGTTGCGATCCCGTTGCCGGTCCCGGTCCGGTACGGGCACGACACTGAGGGTTGCGATCTGTTGCCGGTCACGAAAAAAGACAAAAAGACAAAAAAATAAAAAATAAAAAATAAAGGTTCATACTGTTTTTAACTCTGGCTGCTAATCTTTCTCATTCTCATGTGTTTCCCAAAATCCTCATAAAAGGCATGAGTTTTTCCACATGAAAGCATGTATATAATGAACAGCTAGGTGATCTCTGCAGTGCAGATTCAAAACTAAGGTTTTATTTTCTTCTTTATTGAAAAAAAAGAAAAAAGATTGGATGAATTGCAAAAATGGGTATAAATTTTTCCAAGACAGTGTTATAATAAAATGTGAATATTTTCAGTATTTGTTGAGTGAAGGATGTTTGTATTAACATTTAGTTAACTGGACTTCTTGAGTACTGGTTACATTTCTACTGATCTCCATGTGGCTAAAAAAGAAAATGTCTTTCTGTTGCATTGTTTATTGTTGTGTATTTTGAAATCCATGTTGGCTTTTGTTACCAGGTTAGCATGCTGACATATAAAGAATACATAAGCTTGTAAAGCATCCAAATTCAGGTATTCTCAAACTTTACTATGTGTCAAAATCACCTGGAAGGCTTGTTGAAACACAGATTATCCCAAATTTCTGGATTCAGTATGTCTGGTTTGGAACCTGAGAATGTGCATTTCTAACTAGTTTCTAAGTGACACTGATGCTGCCGTTCCAAGAACCACACTTTGAAAGTTATTGTCCTAAATCCTTTCTTGCACAATGTGAATGTAAATTAGCTAGATTCACAGAGCATCTAATAAATAAGCTGGTAGATAAATTTGCCTGGCTATCACCTTATTGCTTGATTTGATAATTCTGGGAACTACTTAGTTGCTGATATTGAGCTGAATGCAGCTTTACCTGAACAGGATCCTGAAATTCCAGTGTAAAGTGACATCACAACATGTGGGTTCTTGTACTGGAAGATCCTGTAACTGACAATTACACACTCTTAGTCACTCAGAGTCACCTAACAAAGTAGGCTTTGGTTCCTACCACTACCCCGTCCTACTTCACAAGGCTACTGAGGAATCAAATGACAACGTATGTGACAGGGCTTTGAAAGCTGGAAAGCACTATAAAAGGTAGAGGGTTATTTAAAACATTTCTTTCCAGAAATATGCAGTATGCTCCTCATAAAGTATATCCTTAACCTCTATCAATTTTATGTTTTATGTTTATTCAGAAGCATTATTTATAGAGCTATGACATTACTGCTTCACAAAAATGGCTCACTGCTCAGTTACCACAATAACACATTTCATGTATTTTTGTTATTTTTAGAGGGGACACATTCTATGCTTGTGTTGCATCATTTACTACCGCCATGTTTCCCAACAGCGTGCATCCAAATCACCTGAGGATATTATGAAAATGCAGATTCTGATTCACTATGTCTGGGGTGGTGTCTGAGATTCTAAGGAGCTCCTAAGTGAGGCTCATGCAGGTGGTTCATGAACACACACACTAATGGAGGCAAGGACGTACTGTTTACTCAACTCCCATCCCTTGCTGATAGTTCCTCAATCTGTGTCTTATTTACATTCTACAGTTATGTCTGTGTCAGTGTTTTTATGCATGTGTGAGTGGGTGTGTTGAATCTATATTCTAGTAGCATAAATTATCTCATGAGAATTATCTAATGAGAAGCAGTAGGTATTCTAAATTATCGTCAGCCATTACAATGAAGAAGTAAAAATATCAGCGTGGGAACACAGGACTGCTAGCAGATGGATATTTATTGAGAGTTAAATCAGTACATTCAACACTAACTATTAAACATGGACCTAGGTTTCAGTTAAAGAATGTTTAAAAGGCTAAGGCATCTATGCTTTGTCTTGTCCTGACTCTGGGCAAATGATTTTAATCTCAGTCCAACTATCTCTTTCACTGCAGGTGAAAATTGAGCTACCAACACAACTCCATGAGAAACATCACATTTTGTTTTCTTTTTATCACATCACCTGTGACATAAATGCAAAAGCTAATGCCAAAAAGAAGGAGGCTCTAGAAACATCAGGTACTGACACGAAATAATCTGAAGTTACTTTACCTGTCATCTCTTCGACTTGAGTTGGAGAGTATGTTTAAAGCTCTGATGATTGAATTTCTTAGTGAAGTTTTGTATTCATAAATGATAAACAGCTTTGCTTTTACATCTTACCGTGGATGTGTGTACTCAAAATTTTCTCTTTGCTGTTCTTTTGCACAGTTGGATACGCTTGGCTTCCTCTGATGAAACATGATCAGATAGCTTCTCAAGAGTATAATATCCCAGTAGCAACAAGTCTGCCTCCAAATTATTTAAGCTTTCAAGATACTGCAAGTGGAAAGGTATTGAGTAGTATATAATTTAAGAGAAAAGAGTACATCAGCTAAATAGCATAAGGTTACCTTCTTTCTCTGTTATCTAAATCAAGACCATACATATTCCATTGTAATTATGAATCAAGTGTATTTACAGTATTCCACATCTCTTGTTTAGTTAATGGCCACCAGAAATGACATATGTTAATGATCCTCTAATATCATATAGACCTCATCTACTAATATGGCCAAATGGATTGGCATCTTTTTTATCTCTAGAGTAATATAAGATTAATGGATCAGGACAGCCAATTGACATAAACTAAATAAAATTTCTATTTTCTTGCTCTCAAACTGTCACAGTGATGGTAATAAACTCTTTTTTGCAGCATGGTGGGAGTGACATTAAATGGGTTGATGGTGGCAAACCGCTTTTCAAAGTATCCACATTTGTCGTGTCAACAGTGAATACTCAGGTGAGTACATTGTCCTGAAATATCAGCATCTTCTCTAACAGAGAATCATAAGGTATCTCCTGTATTTACAAGAGAATGAAGCTCATCATTACATCAGGTGTTGGAAGAGCAGGTGATTAAATACTACAAAGGAAGAATGTTTGGGGCATAATTTTATGCCTCTCTCAGGATAGAATATTCTAACCCCTTAGGCCCAGACACTGTAAAGCTTCAGACCAAAACACCAGAAGTGTATTTAACAGAATGACACTCCCCTTAGAGTATGTTTTGCTTTCACTAACAACACCCAAGTGTGAAAAATGTCAAATGTTAAAGATGAAGACTTTGAACCCTTCCTCAAAACTAAGTCTAACTCCCAATGCCTACCCAGCGGTCCCCTAATGGGAAGGCCATGAGGTTGGCAGAACTGAATTTGAGAGTCACCTCAGCCAATTTCTGCTCAGTGACCCTGGACAAATCACTTTACTTCCTGCAGTTTGTATTTCCTCATCAGGAAAAGGGTATCAATACAATCTCTGCTACCTTAAGTCATGGTGAGGATCAAAACGGGAACCTACATGTGAAAATATTTCATGAACTGCAAAGTGCTACCTGGACAAATCACTTTACTTCCTGCAGTTTGTATTTCCTCATCAGGAAAAGGGTATCAATAAAATCTCTGCTACCTTAAGTCATGGTGAGGATCAAAACGGGAACCTACATGTGAAAATATTTCATGAACTGCAAAGTGCTATATCCATGTGTAATTATTATCATTGTTAAATCACCACAGACTCACCCCTTCCATTGCAAGGGAGCATATTTTACCTGGGTGTGAGGAGTCTTCTGGCACCAATTATAAACTACAAAGCAAATTATTACAAGTACATAAAATATATCTCAGGTTCAGTGTGTCTCTGCTTTTCAATCTTTGCTTCATGCTGCTTTGTCTAGCCCATGCATGATGGCAAAAAAAAAAAAAGAAAGAAAGAATCCAGGTACCATATATGTAGGATCAAATTGTCCCTGGTGCTTCAGATCAAATTTAGGGCTCATCTCCACTTCCGTAAACCCATCTTTATACTGATGCCATCAGCCCTGATCAGGTTCCACAAAATGATCAGTCTCCACCAAAACCTGTTTTTATACAAAGGTACTTCAAAAAGTTTTTGGAAAAATAGAATTAAAAGTTAATACAAATCTTTCCATAAACTTTTTGAAGTACCCTCATATATCTCAGACTTTCCTGAGATTCTCCTTCTCATGCTGCCAGTTGCTTTCTCCAAATAGCCCAGGTCTCTCTCACTCACCATAACACCTGCTTCTGCCCCCCACACGCTGGCATTCACCTCAGTTTCAAGCGCCCCAGGCCCTCTCCTGCATGGAGCCCTCCAGCACCCCACGTCCACCCAGGGCCCTCAAGAGCTGCGATTGTGCTGATGTGATTGCCCTTCCTCAGCTGGGAAGGCAGCCTCTTCCTCTCTCCGTCCCCTCCCCTCCTTGGCTTGGGCAGTTCCCAGTCGTCCTTTTTTCCTGAGATTCTCCTTCTCATGCTGCCAGTTGCTTTCTCCAAATAGCCCAGGTCTCTCTCGCTCACCATAACACCTGCTTCTGCCCCCCACACGCTGGCATTCACCTCAGTTTCAAGCGCCCAGGCCCTCTCCTGCATGGAGCCCTCCAGCACCCCACGTCCACCCAGGGCCCTCAAGAGCTGCAATTGTGCTGATGTGATTGCCCTTCCTCAGCTGGGAAGGCAGCCTCTTCCTCTCTCCCTCCCCTCCCCTCCTTGGCTTGGGCAGTTCCCAGTCGTCCTTTAGATCTCAGCTCAAACACCACTTCCTCAAAGAGGCCTTTTCTGTTCCTCGACCCTGCAGACAAAGCCGGGCCATCTTGCCATGCACCCAGGTGGCTCCCACTGTTTGACTGAAGCACTTACCAAATTATGAATAAATAGGTGCGTGTGTCAGTCATGGGGTGGTGCTGGCCTCCCTGTCTTAGTGGAAGGTCCACAGAGGAGAGGGTTAGGTTGGCCTTGCCCTCCGCCCTGTCCCTGGTGCCTGCCAAGGGCATGGCTCACCCTCATCTTCTGTTAAATTATGACTGAATAGACTAATCCATGAAGTGATATTTAAAAGGAAAACAGTTGTATCTAGTCAAGTAAAGAACTCCAGCTAGGAAACAGAAAACATCACACACACATACCCCGACTTGGGAGGAGCCCACACCACAGATGTCTTTCTAGAATGCCAGAGAAACATCCAGAGAGTGTACCCTCACTCAAATTCTCTATCTCATTTCCCAACTGTACAGAACTTAGAGAATGTCCAAGGTTCCTCCCTCTTCAGGAAATAGCCTGCAATGGTAAGAGTCAGTTTTAATTCATGTTAGCCAAAGACATTCCAATTTTTGGCTAATTGAAACATGTTAAGCCTGAAAATATCCCTATGCATATTAAACAGTACCCATTCTGACGTGTGTTAAGGAATATGTAAAAGAAGTAGCTCACTTGGGAGAGCGTGGTGCTGATAACACCAGGGTCAAGGGTTCAGATCCCCATTCCAGCCAGCACCCCAAAAATAAATAAGTAAATAATACGTAAGAGACATTGGTAGAAATCTATGGAAGGAAGAAGCTGGAGTGGGAAGATAAACTAAGGAAATTTAAAAAATTAAAAAAATTTTTTAAAAAAGGAGCACATCCAGGGAAGTAATTCTCCAGCCATTGTCATGTGGCTGAGAAGGACAACAAAACCCAAGAGAATGAGAAAGGAGAGAGCGTGGGCTTTGTAGTTCAGGCTGAGACTTCAACAGGCTGGAATATCTACTGAAAATGAAAGCTTTGTTGCTCTGACTTCCCGATAAATCACTTGCACATCGAGGCACTGATTTCACAGAAATTCTCATCTTCCATCACAATGATTGTATGCAACACAGTTTATGTGTCATCAGAAATAAATACTTTTTTTTTTAATTTGCTTGTTGCAGGATCCACATGTGAATGCATTTTTCCAACAGTGCCATAAACGAGAAAAAGATATGTCTCAGTCACCTACCTCGAATTTTGTTCGCTCTTGTAAGGTAACATGACATGCAAGTAGATCAGTGGTCTTCAGGGTAAAAATAGGCAAAAGAGACCGTTACACTGTCCACTGAGTAGCAAACTAAGAGGTGATTATTATTGATTTTAAAGATTTTAAACTATCTTATCAGTTCAAAGAGTAAATGGCTTTTTTCACAATGTCTAAATAGTTTCTGTCTGTTGATTATAAACTAAGCAAAGATCAGTTTTTTCAACATAAAAATAATTTAAAAACAGATCCATTTACTTTAAATGAGTTGATCAAATGGAGAATCCTTGCAACATTCCTCCCATATCTATATGCCATGCCAAATGCAATGAAGAATAAAGCCAGAAAAAGGTGAGCTACAGAATTCATATTCAAGTTCTGAAAAACACCAATAGATCATGCTTTATTATTTTTTCCTAATTTATTTATTTTTTAGTTGGCAAATAAAAATTTCATATATTTATCATACACAATATGATGTCTTGAAATATGTACACATTATGGAATGGCCAAATCAAACTGATTGACAGATGCATTACCTCACAGACTTATCATATTGTAGTGAGAACATTTAAAATCTCTCAATGATTTTCAAGATTACAATACATTATTATTAACTAATAGTCACCATGTTGTATAATAGATCTCCTCCTACCTAACTGAAATTTTGTGTTCTTTGGCCAACATCTCCCTGATCCTTTTCCCTCCACACCCCAGCCCCTGGTAATCACCATTATACTCTTGACTGTAATGGGCTCAGCTTTTTTATGCTCTGCATATATGTGAAATCTTTCTGTGCCTAGCTCATTTCACTTAACGTAATGTCCTCCAGGTTCATCCACATTGTTGCAAATGGCAGGATTTCCTTCGTTTTTAAGGCTGAGTAGTATTACACTATTTACATATTCCACATTTTCTTTATCCATTCATCTATTGGTGGACACTAAGGTTAATTCCTTACCTTGGCTATTGTGAATAATGCTGCAGTAAACATGGGAGTGCAGCTATCTCTTCAACAGACTGATGTCGTTTTCTTTAGATATAAACCCAGTTAGTGAAATTGCTGGATCATGTGTTAGTTCCATTTTTAAGTTTTTGAGGAACTTCCATACTGTTTTCCATAATGGCTATACTAATTCACATTCCCACCAACAGTGTGCAAGGGTCCCGTTTTCTCCCCATCCTCGCTGGCACTTATTATCTTATGTCTCTTTGATCATAGGCACTCTAATAGGTGTGAGGTGATAGCCCACTGTGGTTTTAATTTGCATTTCTCTGACAATTAGTGATTTTGACCACTTTTTCATAGACCTATTCACCTTTTGTATGTCTTCTTTTGAGAAACATCTATTCAGGTCCTTTGCCTATTTTTTAATTGGTTTTCTTGCTATTGAATTGAGTTCCTTGTGTATTTTGGATATTAACCTCTTATCAGATGTATGGTTTGCAAATGTTTTCTCCCATTCCATAGATTTTCTCTCTACTCTGTTGATTGTTTCCTTGGCTGTGCAGAAGCTTTTTAGTTTGATGTAATGTCATTGGTCAGTTTTTACTTTTGTTGCCTATACTTTTGGGGTCATAGCCAAAAAATTATTGTCTAGACTAATGTCATGGAGTTTTCCCCCTATGTTTTCTTCTAGTAGTTTTACATTTTTCAGGTCTTACTTTAAATTTAAGTCTTTAATCCAGAATGTGCTTTAAATTTAATCCATATCTTTTTTCTGCCAATTTGCTACAGAATTTATTGAATGTGGAAAAGATTCATGCAATCATGAGTTTTCTCCCTATAATCTTGAATCAGCTCTTCAAGGTTCTGGTACAGAATGAGGAAGATGAAATAAGTACAGCTGTCACCAGGTATCCACAGCACAACCTTGGGAAAAGAGATTTTATCTTCTGTGGTTTTGCAAAACTTTGATTGTAACTGAACACGCTCTAATTTAAGTATTTCTCACTCTTGAATCTTTACCTTCTAATCTCCTACTATTATCATTAGTTAAGTTTTTGACCTATTTTTTAAACTTCTTCTTGGTGTTTTTTCTATTAAACTTTTTATTTTGAGATCATTGTAGATTCACATGCAGTTGAAAGACATAACACAGAGAGATCCCATGAACGCTTTACCCAGTTTACTCTGCTGACATCTTCCATACGTCGATGGAATCATACAGAATGTGACCTTTTGTGATTGGATTTTTTCACTCAGCATAATTCTCTGGAGAGTCATCCAGGTTGCTGAGTCTATCAATAGTTTGTTCCTTTTAATTGCTGAGTAGCATTCTGTGATATAGATGTACCATAGCATTTTTAACAGTTCACCTATTGAAGGACATCTGGATGGTTCCCAGGTTTGGGCTATTAGGAATAAAGCTGCTATAAACATTCATGCACAAGTTTCATGTAAACATAAGTCTTCATTTCTCTGAGATAAATGCCCAGGAGTGCAGTTGCTGGATAATATGGTAGTTTAATGTTTGATTTTTAAGAAACTACCAAACGGTTTTCCAGAATGGCTGTACCATTTCACATTCTCATAAGAACTTTTTTAAATACTAAAAAAATTGTTTTAACTGTTCTCACTTTAAATTTTGCTATGCTACATTGTTCCAGCATCACTAATCTGGCTGGTGACTTCGGAAATCACATTTTTCTATTTATAGAGATAGTGTTTTGAATTAATTATTGAGTCATATATTCCTGATGTTCGCTTAAAAAAAGATTAGGCATAGAATTCTGGAAAAAAAACTACTCTTGGCATTGAAATGTTTACAGTATCTTCCTGACTCATAAGCATATTATTGCCCTCTTTCAAAATGAGGATTTTTAGCCTAGTTTTTAAAGTAGAGCCCTGAAGTTCTGGAAAGTTAAAGTATCTCTAACAGTTCCACAACCAGCCAGTTCTGCATCCAAGTTAAAAGTCCCCAACTGTGCCTTCAAGTGATGCTCTTTGGGCATGAATATATGTGTCTGCGTTGGCAAGACTCCTAAATATTGCAGCTGATAGATCTGTCAAAATTCTAAGATATTTCTAAGTACTGTAGCCATGGAGCAACTGGTAGTTTCAATGTGAAAAAATCAACTCACACCACTCCTGCTGCTAGAAACTCTAACCCAGCCAAGGGGGGAAAAGCAACTGCATCTTAAGCTAATTACTTTTTCCAAAAGTATATATAATGCCTATAGGTTGGAAGGCAAGCCCTTTCAAAATGGAATATGGTAATTAATTAGAGGCTAAACATCTTAAGTTTTAATTAGGTGCTGAAAATAATCCCTTTTCCAAGAAGATGATATCATCAAATGCACAGGCCTTAATGAGCACCTTCAACTTCAGCAACAAGTCTCCACTATGATATTACAGCCATAAAATCTTACTTATATCTTAGTGTTCAGAAGTTTCAAGGTTGGGAATGACCAAAAGGGATTACAGATATTAAATGCCCAGAACCAAGGGGTGAGCAGGGGAAGGGGGGAGTCTGAAATCCATTTATTCAGTAACTAATAGATACCCAGTATATCAAGCACTTCAATGACAAAGTAAAGTAGCATTTTTCTGCCATCTGCAGAAAGGCCACTGAACAGCTTTGCTTTTCCAGGGTTCTGACTGACATTGTGGCCAAGTGCCATGAGGAGCAGCTAGACCACTCCGTCCAGTCCTACATTAAGGTATGAAATCACCACTTGGACACTGGTCATATCCCCTTGTGCTGTGTGGCTTGTCTCATTTCCTGTCTTCAATAAGTGGGAAGTTTGCTCCCCTTAGCTGGACAGCACCCGCCACAGTAATATCAAGAATTCTCCTTAGCTACTTAGAATTTCATCTCTTTGCTTTAATGGACTAGGTATATTTTTTAAATGTATAAATGTATAAATAATGTGTACTTATTCAAATGCATATTTATATAGGGAGAGAGAGGAAAGAAAATGATAGAGGAGAAAACGAAACTATTGTCCTTTTGAATTCAGCATTACAAATAAATGAAATTCCTGTGTTAATTTAAGGCAGACGTTTTCTACTGGTTTGTTGAATGCTGTATGTTTCTTCTGTAATGTTTTCTTAGCTCTTTTTATTGTTTTCTCAGGCATTATTTCATTTTCCCAGTTACTGTATATTTGTACCTGCTTCTGGTATGTTAAGTCCTTTATCTTCTGGCATGACCCACTTGCCCATCCATCGGTGTGCACTGCCTCTTCCAGCGTCCTGTGTCAAGTGTTCACTCAGAGATGTTTATCTTCTCATATCCAGTTGGCCTGTGAATTAATGCCAGTGAACTTGTGATGATGTTTACACTTCATAGTTTCTACCTAAATGCCATCTTCTTAAATGAAAAGAAAGAACCCATCCAGAGATACATAAGAGTATCTGAAATTACTTTGTAATATACAGAGGACCTAAATTTCTATTTTTTTTTCTATGCATAGATTAAATCTTTTTGAAATATAAACATTTTTAATTAAAAGAATATATTCTATTAATATATGTGGATAGACATATACTTATATATTCCAGATGTCTAGAAAGGTAACTAGAATTTGGATCCTTTGTGCTAGAAACTCGTTTTAAGAAAGACAACCCAGTGCTCCTGTGAAAGGAATTAACTAGAAATTGCATTCTGGACTGAATCTCTCTGAGATACCATCTGTAAAGAAATTTTTTTCATTAGTTTCATATATATATATATTTTTCTACCTCCAGAAATTTTTGGTATCTTCTCAAATATTGAAGCCAAACCGTGAGTGTGTGCCCTTCCTTAAAACAGCCTGTATGCCAAAAGTAGTTATTTCACAGTAATTTCCCTATGGTATAATTTTACCTGATAAGACCAACATTCCAATTATAGAAAGCCAGCTTCACCTAAAAATGCCTTTTTAGTTTGTTCTCTGTTTAAGATAGCATCAGTTTTCTTTTATAGAGTATTTATAAATTTACCATTTGACAGAATCATCTGGAGAACTTTCACCTACTCAAAGCTTACCCCAATTTTCTATCAATCTCCAAAGAGACTGAAAAGAAAAACAAAATATTCCTTGATCCATCTTGCACACAGGCATCTCCATTTCAACACTAGGGTTATTTTTCTCATTCCAATGGAATCATTGGAAGTTACATTAAGAACCCTATGCTCTTGTGAACTATTTTTGTGATAGCCAAGGCTAGTTCTTTATGCGCATCTCACATCTCAGACTCTTTCTCTGTGATGCTCTTGGAAAGATGTATTGGAAATGTATGGACTTTATTTTTGACTAGGACATCTGAAATATCCTGACAAGACTATTTCATTTTATAATATCGGAGATTGCTTATTTAGCTTGCTTCGAAGTGGTCCAAATTCAGAAACATACCTATGTGGAATTTCAGGTTGATAACAACTTCTAAAGATATTTTAGAAAATATTTGCATATAACTAAAACAAATATGAATATAATCAACTTGCATTTTACTCTGGAAAGAGTACTAAACTAGCAAGTGAGAGACTAGATTCTAGTCAAGGTTAAAAAGTCAACTTGAGAAGTCAGCCTCTCTGAACCTCTGTGATGTGAGATTGGATGGATCATCCAGCTCCATGATTCTGTGATTGGACTCCTGTGGCAGTGCATGGTTGACAGCATGGTCTGGACCAAATAGTCTGAAGTTTTTACCTTAGGTGGTGAAAATTGTTTTATAGTATATAAATAGATATTAAGACTCCTATCTAGGAGTATAGTGAAAACTGATGGGCTGGCACCAAAATGTGCTTGGATATCTTGAAAGATGTGATATTCAATGTAATTTATATTTATTCAGAAGAGAACTAAACACCATTTCAAGTTCAGTGGTGCTAAATGCTGCTAACTCACTCCATCTACAATATCCAAAATGTACACATACACCATGTCTTTTCCAAAGATGTGTGTCTAAAGTCAGTCTGATTAAATGCCATGGTTTACAGTGATTTGTAGCATTGATGGGTTCTAATCAAAATTTTAAAATAAGAATATTTCAGTGTGAGTCGAAATGCCCTTCAGGATAAATAACTGTGCATGGGATTAGATAGATAGTTGGTGATGACTTAACCGTATATGAGGCATAATCCATGAGGGGGAAAAAACCATATTATTCTTGATTTTAGCTACTTGCATGCATCCATTAGCTTCATCTTTCTCCTTTAGGATGAGCTTGGAGAAGTCAGGCCCCACTAGGACAACTTAGGTGCTGATGTACTAAAAATTTCAAAGAAGTGGTTATAGATCCAAAAGGGAATATGCCTTTTCTGTGAGCCAGTCCCTTGCCTGCCTTCAATCTCAATTATAGTGAAGTCTGAATTGTGAATTTTACTAAGAAATGCCCTTCCTTGGGGCAAAACCAACTCATAAGTAAGATATAATTCAGTAATAAGCATTTTGTATTTGAAACATATATGGAGCCTGCCTTCAATCTCAATTATAGTGAAGTCTGAATTGTGAATTTTACTAAGAAATGCCCTTTCTTGGGGCAAAACCAACTCATAAGTAAGATATAATTCAGTAATAAGCATTTTGTATTTGAAATATATATGGGCATAAATAGATACTGATATTCTTAAAAGATATGAAGAAATATCTCTTTACTGCTTACCATACCATGCCAAAACCAACCTTTTGCCAAAAAAAAAATGTAAGCAGCATTTGTCATCTTACTGATGGCCAACGTTCATGAACCCCTTGATACTATGTCTAAGCATGGGATGGTAGACCCTGGGCTTGTGGGGAGCTCACCTACTGGCCTCTGGAAGGCACTTGCTTCCTCACTTGGCTATTTGAGTGGGTGCTCTACCCTTTCAGGATGAAGAATTGCTACCATGCCACCTGTTACCAGTGGAAGGAAGGAGAAGGGGAATGAGTCCTAAGTAGGTGGGTCAAAGCCCTCCAATGTTTCCTTAAACCTGCTAAGTGGCTCTCTGTAAATTCTCTTAATTTTTACAAAAAAAAAGTTTCAAGAGGAGCTTAGGTGAGCAAGGCCCTACCTGTGAAAAGCCCTAACTAGGAGCAGGTGTGTACTACTCTTATCATTGGGCCTTCATTTGTTTTATGACAAAATCTGGCATGAGCAGATAGTTTTGAAATATGACTTATTCATGTGACATAATTCTTAAAGCTTTGTTGTTTAAAGCATTTAACTTTATTTACTTTTTGAATTTTCTTCAGTTTGTGTTCAAGACCAGTGCATGCAAGGAGAGAACTATACATGAGGAACTGGCTAAAAATGTGACTGGTCTTTTGAAATCAAATGACTCAACAACAATAAAGCATGTCCTAAAGGTAAAGAATTAAAAATGGTCATTTAATTGTTAGGACTAGGGGTGGATCACTCTTTCCTGTGGATGGTGATAGGAGTCATTGATTTTCATAGAGTATTTCTCTTATAGTTTCTGGCATAAGCTTCATATTGAAACTGTAGCATATGAAAATATTTTTTTTTCCCTTTTTTGTCTTTTTTTCGTGACCGGCAACGGATCGCAACCCTCAGTGTCATGCCCATACTGGAATGGGACTGGCAACGGGATCGCAACCCTTGGTGTTGCCCCCGCACCTCGCTCAGCCAGTGAGCAGGAACCGGTCTGTATGTGGGATCCGAACCCTCGGCGGGAATGCCGGTGCGCTCCAAAGCGGCGCACTGTAGCAGTGCGCCACCAGTCCGGCCCGCATATGAAAATATTAAGCAAAGGAGGTGTATGTCAAGAGAACATAGGTAAAAGTAGAATGGACCCAAGTTAGTGCTTTGACTTAAAGGCAGAATGAATGACTCTGAAGCATGATCTAAAGGGATGTCCTGCTGACAATGGGCGCTGGGTCCCCAAGGCTTCAGTGGGCTGGTGTCAGCAGATAGGAAGCCGTGGGAGATGCAGATACAAGAGGGGTGTGCGGAGCCCAGCAGACTGGAGGCGGAGAGGAGGTGAGGCTTCTCTGGGCCTCCGACATGGCCAGACACAAAGGCTCAGCTGGATGAGTCCTGGTGGGCTCAAGGAAAAGAGTGGGGCAGGC